ACACACACACACACACACACACACACACACACACACACAGAGTAAGCATGAACAGTGGGATCTGAACCCAGGTCCTGTGGGTCTGTGCTCTTTCCACCTGTACCATTAGGCTTCACTCAGGATTATCACTCCAGAAATGATCAGAAAAGGAGGTGGGCAGGTCATGCCATATGAGTGACAGGTAGACAAGCCAAGAGCTGTACTGACAGTCTTGCAATGCGCAAAGACACACTGCTCACAATTCTCTGAGCACTTTCAGACAGGCAAAACTCTTCCTTTACAATAACACTATTATTATTCCAATTTTGCAGATGAAGAAACTGAGGCTCAGAGAGGTCAAAGGAACTGGGAATTTGCTCACTGCACGGTGGCAACCAGCACATTGCTACGTTTGCTGCAATAAAGACCAAAGTCTCAGTGACCTAGATCTCTGCTCCCTCCAGGAGTTTCCTAAACATTGAAGGAACACTTTTTTTTTTTTTTTTTTTTGCTGAGGTGATTGGGTTTAAGTGACTTGCCCAAGGTCACACAGCTAGTAAGTATTAAGGGTCTGAGGCCGGATTTGAACTCAGGTCCTCCTGAATCCAGGGCCAGTGCTCTATCCACTGTGCCACTGAGCTGCCCCATGAAGGAACACTTAAGAGAGACAGAGCCAGATCCCAGAATCAGGTGGATGAGAGGGGCCACTTCTCCAGAGGCACCAGGCTTCTACGCTCCCATATTACGAAGCCTGGGACGGTGGATCTGGATGTCTGAGACAGTCAATCAATGGGCATACATGAAACACCTTCTGCGTCAGGCCGGGTGAGAAGTGCTGCTAGATAAATATTAGCCTGAATACTGGGGAGCCACTGATTTATCTCCATTTCCCCATTTGTGAAAGGAAGAGAGTAGCAAAGAGCAAAGAGCAAAGAGGAGAAAGCAGTCGTCTCACCATCATTTCTGGGAGGCCCCCGCGCAGGGCGGGGAGATGTCTGTGCATTTTTACTGCAGTTGGGAGAAGCAATGGCTGAATTCCAGACCAAGTAGAAGAGGGAATATTGGGGGTGAGAGAGAAGATGAGTTAAAAAGGAAAAAAAAGGGGAGCGTGGCCCAGTGCCCAGAGAGCTAGCCTTGGAGTCACGAGTCCATACCGCCCGTGTTCTCCTGGCCAAAGCCACTCAGCTCAGCGTTCCAGGTAGCTCTCTCATGTTGGAGACGACAGAGGAGTTGGAGCTGCTGCTCTGTAGGGGGAAGGGGTTTCCAGACTGATGGGTTTGGATGCAGTCTGACAAATTAAGGAAGGAAGGAAGGAAGCAACATTTACATCTGGTGGGGCAGTTCATCTGCTTTATTTGACTCTTCCTGAAGCTGGGATAGGGAAACCCAGATATTCCTCACCACAGGCATGAAGGATGCGTCAGCATCAGGACCTAGGAGAGGGGGCCAACGGGCTTAAGTTTTTGTTCCTGCTTAAAAGGAGGCTGGAGTTGGTTGGTTGGTTCTGAATACACCATCCTAGGGCAAATTCAGGTAGAAGACTTGAACTGCTCAAAGCCATGGTTCCCCACCCTTAGGCACGGCGTCTTCTGCACAGGGCTCTCAAGAGACATGATTATTGCATGGGACAGACTATTTTTTTTCTGTATGCAGGTTATTTGAATTGTGAATGTATATGTATACATATATGTATGTATATACACACACACATTTAATTGTTTATTTTGCAGTTAAAATAGGAGGGATGGAGTGGCTATTTGCTTTTGTGGAGAAGCGTCTTCTTTATAAACGTAGGACTTGTGAAAACTTCCTCTCTCCCCCTGCCCCTCGAAGAATTCATGGGCATCCTAACCCCTGGGACACCAGCTGCAACAGACCCAGGCTTTTTGTTCCTCAGTATAATCATCTCCGGCGTTGAAGTAGTATCCTTAGCAGCCCCTCCCTCATACATTTTCTGACCTCTCACCCCACAGGGATCACTGCCTTCTCTGCTCTTAAACAGAGAAAATACAGGCTGCTGCTGCCTGGTACCGTCAGAGACCGGAAAAGACCCCATTTTCCTTTCAGGATCGTGGGCGTGAAGCCCAGGCCGTAACTGGCTTCCCTGAGCCCTGTGCTGGCTCTTTGCCAAAGCTGGCTACAGCCATGGCACAGAGATCCCTCCCCTGCAGCTAAGGGATTATGGAATGGTAGGGAGTCATGGGAATACAGTACATTGGTACAGCTGTGCCTTTGGGATTGTTAGCCTCATTTTACAGAAGAGGTGGCTATCTTTAGGTATTAGAAGGTCCTTCATATGGAAAAAAGATTAGCCTTTTTTCCCCAGAGGGTAAAATGAGGAGGAAGGGATGGAATCTTTGAGTCAGGGGTTGGAATCTGGCTCTCCAATTTATTAGCTGTGCAACCTTAGTCAACTCTCTTCTTTTTCTTTGAGCCTCAGTTTCCTTGTCTGTAAAATGGAGAAGTTGGACCAGATGATTTCCAACGCAGCTTAGGGTCTTAGTACAGGGGAAGGAAGCGGGCTCTGGAGTCAGAGACCCTGGGTTCAAATCCTGCCTCTGATGAACACTACCTGGGTGACCTTGGTCGTCTCTTCCCCTCCCGGTTCCTCAGTCTCCTTATCTATACCACGAGGGGGTTGGAGCACACAGTCTCTGAGGGCCCTTCCAGATCTAACCTAGGGACCCTGTAACAGAGAAACAGACATACTCCTAAGAGTCTGTACCCCAGCTCTCTCACCATCGGCTCATGACTCACCTAGTTTGGGGAAAAGAGCTTTGGATCTGGAATCAAAGGATCCGAGTTCAAATCCTGACTCTGCAACTTAGGTTCCTAGATTTAGGACTAAAAACCATCTGGTCCAACCCCTATTTGACAGATGGGGAAACTGAGACCTGGGAAGGCATGAAGTGCCCAAGGTCACACAGGTCCCAGACTCCAAATCAGCACTGTCTCTTTCACTTGGCACTTTGTGACCCTACTTCGCTCTCTGGCCTCAGTTTCCTGATCTATAAAACGGGGGTTGGGGAGGCGCGGGGACGGGGAAGTTCTCCGACAGCCTCCAGATCTCGGACACTGCGCCTCACGCGGGCACCTGCTCCGGGGCCCGACAGGGCTCAGAGAGGGGGGGTCCGAGAGACTCACCGCCGCCAGGGGTCGCCGCCTTAGCATCCCAGGCCGCTCATGGAACCGATCCGGTCCAGCTTGAGGCCGAAGCAGCCCTTGGACAAGCCCTTCTTGTTGACGCCTCGGAACTTGCGCGCGTTGGGGTAGTCGTGCAGCAGGCGCGCCCACGCCGCCCTCGAGCGGGTGTCCACGCGCAGGTCGCGAAGCAGCCGCGCGTTGGAGCCCTTGGCATTGGCCCCGCCGCCGCCGCCGCCGCCGCCGCTGCCCCCCGGAGCCTTGTCTCCCTTCTTGTCCCCGCCGGCTGCGGCCGGGAGCCCCGCCGGCTCTTCCCCAGGCGGGGTCCGCGGGGGCTGTCGCGGGGAGGAGGAAAGCAGACTTGGGGCCGTGAGGGTCATACAAGGAAAGGGGTCCCCGCCCCCTTTCCAAAGCGCCCCCACGGCCCCTCGCTCCCCAGGAGTGCCACCCCCCACCCCCCCGCGGATCGCGGGTTCCGCCCGGACCTGTGCCCTCTCTCCCACTCGGGGAGCACCATCATGCGCCCGCTGTGCTACCCAGTGCCCCTGCCCTCCTTCCCTCCAGGAGATCCTGGGGTCGGGGGACCCTCGGGCACTTTGCCTGCGCCTCCCGGTCCTGGGCGCGTTCCGAGTTTGGCCAGGCGCCCGTACCTGCTCCTGTCGTCCGTCAAGGGGAGAGAGAAGGGTTTCTTCCTTCCGATCTCCAAGCCACCTCCCCTGGGCCCCGGGGATCCCGCGGGGCCGGCCGACTGTCTAGGTACTTCCCGGGGACTCCCCTTCTCCCCAGGCAAATCTGCCCCCCCTCCCCCCCTCCTCCGCCCCGGGGAGGGAAGGGCACCCACCTTCTGCGGCGCGGCTGGCTTGGCCTCGGGACGAAGCGACAGGAGCGTCAGCAGGAGCGTCCAGGCCAGCAGCTGGGAGACGTGCATGGTGCCGGGGGATACTGGAGCCCACGCAGGGGTACAGGGGTGCAAGGGCTGCGGAGAAGGATGGCGAGCCGGGCTCAGAGAGGGTGGTGGGCGCTCGCAGCTGAGCGCGGCGCAGCGGGCGGAGAGAGCCCGGACTGAACTGCCCCGCGCCGCGCTGCAGTGGAGTCAGAGTGCCGCGGGAGTGCGAGGCGGGCTTGCGCTCGTTTGCGGCTGCTCAGCTGCGCCGGCGGGGAGCGCTCTGAACCCGGCTTCTCCCCTCGGCGCCTTTATAAGCCAAGCGGCCCACTGATGTCATCCCCCCGCCCACCCGGGCTGGCGGAGCCTGGGGCTCCGGCTGGCGCTCCCGACCAATGACAAGCCGGAGCTGCGGTCCCCAGGGCCTGCCAAGGGGGCCTGGGAGGGAAGCTAGGGGGAGGGGGCGGGGGGGGGGTTCGATGCTGCCGCCCCGGGGGGAGTCTCTAGGCCAACTCCTCCCGATGGCCCCCAGCCCTAGGTAACAGACTGCCAGGACCCCAGAGGGGCTCCCGCTGGGAGCTCCGGAGACTGAGCAGAGCTGGGAGGTGGGGTGTCTTGGGGTGGTGGAAGCCAGGTGACCCATGTCGCACCTGTCTGGGCGGTTTCTAGAGTCCAATTTCCACCTCGTGAGGCAGGAGAAGGAGGGATGTCCGAAGGAAGGGGCCAGGTGACTGAGTCCGGAGCCCTTGACTTTAACCCTGGGCCTCAAGCCCCTTTCTTTCCCTGGACCTCAGACCTCAGTTTTCTTATCACCTGCAGGCTTTGCAGGTCTCCAGAAGGCTCCTGGAACGGTGTGTGCGAGCGTGTGCGTGTGTGCGTGTGTGTGAACATCAGTGCCCGGGGCTGAAGCTTGCACATCTCGGACCGTAACTCCACCAGGTGCCGCCACTGCTGGCCCTTCTCCAAGAAGAGATCGCCGGCTTTGGGGCTCGGTGCTGCCCACCGGCCCTGGGCACTTTGGCAGACTTAAGACGAAGCGGGGCCAGCACTTTTGCCCCACTGGGGGGGGGCGGGGGTCCACGCTGATCGCGTGTGCCTCTATGTACGTGCGCACGGGGGTGGCGAGCCGGTAGCTCTTCGATTCTGGCCAAGTGGCATCTTAGCACTCCGCGCTCCCAAGGAGAAGGGAGAGGCGTGGGCCCTGGGCACTCCCGCCTCCTCTTCCTCCAAGCAACATTTAATAATACATAATAACTGGTGTTTGCATTGCGCTCAAAGGCTTTACCCACGAGATTTCATTTGAACCGGCAGGAGGCCGGCGCTACAGGTGTTATTCTGATTTTACACTTGAGGAAACTGTGGCTCGGAATGGGGTCGTCAGCCAGTCAGCAAGGGAGGCAGCACGGTATTGTTGCAAGAACCTGGGTTCAAATACCACCTAAGATACCTTAGGCATGGCACTTAATGTCCCTGGGCTCCAGGTTCCTCAACTGCTTAACGAACGAGTTGGCTCTACGGGTAGAAGTGGTCGCTTCAGACTCCCGAGGCCCAGGCCACCCCTGCGCAAAGTTGCCCCTCGGACTGCATACACCCCAAGACAGGAAGGCCGGGACCTGTGAGCTCGGCGGAGGTGGGGGGCTCTTCCTTGCGCGCCTCAAACATTCTAGAACCCGCTCGCCAGGCTCTTCTAGTTGGAGTGGAGAAAACAGTCAAGTGGAAAGGGAGGGAACTAATCCCGACCCCCCCCCCAGAGAAAGAGAGGGTCCCCAGGGACGCAGACTGTGGCTGAAGAGGAGGGCCAAAGATCCCAGACAATTGGTGGATACTTCCTTTGAGGGACGCCGCTGGATACTTCCCTTGGCCTCGGTGAAGCCCCTTCAGTGGACGGGGGCGGGGGTGGGGAAGATCTCGGGGTCCCCATCCTACCCACTAGGGATCTCCCTGAAAATTCCAGGCCTCCCCAGGGTCATCTCTGGAGAGGCAGGAGGCTTGTGGGGCTCGTTTCAGAGGGCGCGGGAGGAAATCCCATAAATCTCATTGGAATTGGCGGGGCGTGGTTGCGATTAAAACCGAATGGACGAGCTGTGGGGAGGGGGTGCCCTCTCGTACCCCACCCGGCTCGTTTTACTGAGATGCTCAGCCTGGGTCAGATGCGAGGCTCCAAGGCCATGGTCGGGGGGCTTCCAGTCCCTTCTTTCCTGCTTGCAGCTGCTTCTCCCGCCAGGGTCGCTCTTTCCCCCGCAACTCGAGTGTTCGCCGGTTCCCCTCTTTTCCTTTGACTCCAGCCTCTCCCGGAACGGTGGCTTCCCTTCCCTCCCGCTCTCTCCTTCCCTCTCCACCCACAGAGCAAAGCGATTCAGAGGGTCTGGAGGGCGAGGACACTAGCCCAGATTCCCTCTTCTCTTGGAGCCGCGAACCAACTGGGGGCCTGGTCTCGCCTAGGCTCTGCCCCCAGGGCACTCAGAACACTGGGGAGAGCGCCGGGACCCTGGAGCTTCGAGCCTAGGAGAAGGGTGGCATGCCAAACAACCCCCTCATTTTAAAGAGGAAGAAACTGAGGCCCAGGGGGAGTAACTTGCCGGGGGTCACACAGCTAGTAAGTGCCTGCGGTGAGATTCGGGTGCTGGTTTTCCTATCCGTGCCCTAACCATTGTACCATACTGCCCCTCCCCTTTTTTTTTTTTTTAAATTTGTCGCCTGCATGGAAAGAACCCTGAGACGACTTTGCATTTTTTGCCTGGTTTCTGCAGTGAAATTGCTTTATAGTTTGGAGCTAATCAATAACCTCTCTGTGCCTCAGCATCCCCAACTGTGTAACAGGGAAAATTCTTCATGCTTTATCCTTGCAGGGTTGATGAAAGGTAGAAATTGGAAATGTATCTAAACACTAGAAAAAAAGCTACAGAATCAGAGTATTTCAATATTAGGAATTACATGTATATTCAGAAACCTATACTTATCCCTGCCCAGGGAAATACATATATTTTTTTCCATTGTAGAGAGGGCCTTGGCAGTTACAGATGGCCTCAAACCTGAATTCTGGATCTTTCTAACCCAGGGGTGGGGAACCTGTGGCCTCCAGGGCCCATATGCCCTTGCCAAACTTAAGGACCAAGGCTACATGTGGCCTCCAGGCTGAAGGTTCCTCATCTCTGGGAACCCCTTATCTGGATTTACCTAGACCATGTTCAGTCTCTCTTTTAGGCCCATGCCCTGACCCAAGGCTTCCCTTGAGAACATCAGAAGAATACGCTGTCTATGTCTCTACAGAAAAAGGGGAAAAGTCTCAACTTCCATGCAAGCCATTAGATTGACAATATATGAAACACAGGATGTTTTATTTAATCCAACCAAAAAAAATCCAAACAGAAAAGACACACCTGATCTCATAAATAGTCCAGACTTCTCCTTCCTTTCCAGTGAGTATAAAAGCATTTACTGCTATGGGCCAAGCATTATGCTAGGTGCTGGGATACAAATAGGAAATCATGACAATCTCTGCTCTCAGAGAGCTCACATTTTAATGGGGGCAGACAACATATACAGAAGGGCCCAGCTGCAGAACAGATGGAGAGACCCCGCTAGGCCTTAGGGCGCAGCAGCAAGGCACATGGTAATATATCTTCTTGAGTGTCATTTCCACTGATAAAAGATGTTTCTGATTGGGAACCAGTTGACTGTGCCAAAGATTTTGGGGGCAGGAACTTTGTTTTCTGGGACTTTGGCAGCCCCAGCTGCTGAGGGCGGGCCATGGGGGAGGGGGAGGCTGAAGCACCTGCAGCAGCTGTGGCCGGGTCCTACTTTCTCCAGGGTTGTTGGATGGTGGTCTGGGGGTGGGGAAGTGCTACTACTCCCAAGGTCCCGGACTACCTAATCTGAGGTATGAAGGGAGGTGGGTGCCTTCCCTTCAGGTAACCAGAGTCTGTGCATCCCACAGGCTTCTCTCCAACTGTCTTAACTTTGCTTCTGTCCTCGTTTGCCAAAGGGCTTTTCCTGAAACACAAGTCTGACCAGTCACTCTACTACTCAATAAAGTCCCATGGCTCCCCATTACCTCTATGGTCAAGTGCAGACTCTTCTGTTAGACATTTAAGAACCTTTGCAGCTTGTCTCCAGCTCACCTTTCTAGCCTAGCTGTGCATATACTACTCCACTCCACCAACTCAATGGTGCAGCCAAACTGGCCTCTTTCTGCTTCTCAGGTAGTCTCCCTGCCTCTGGTCTCCTTGCCTAGAATGCATTTCTCATTTAACTCTGCCTCTTAGAGTTCCTCGTTTCCCTCAGGGCTTATCTTGAGTCACCCTCTACAGGAAGCCTTTCTTGATCCCCCCCAATTCTGCATATTCCTGCCTCTCTAACCTTCCTGCAATAAAATGTAACTTTGAGGGCAGGGACTGATTTTGGTGGATCCCCAGCACTTGGAGCTTAGAGAAATATTTGCTGATTGATTCTCTCTAGATGTCCCTTTGAAAGGCTCCATCTAAGGGTGTAGCCCAAGTTATTCTGGAATGGAATCAAATCAATCTGTGGTGTACTGAAAAGAGCTATATTTGGAGTCAAAGAGCTATATTTGGAGTTCAAATTCTAGCTCTACCAGCTACTTACTACCTGTGTAACTTTAGGCAAGTTTAGACTTCTGTTTTCTCAACTAGAAAAGGTGACTTCTGAGGTCCTAACTCCAACTGTGTAACCCAGGTTGAATATATTCTGTGGGCCTGCACTCTAAAACACATGAGCCCCTACTGGTGGGTTTCCCTCCAGTAGTCAACCAGGTAGAAAAATGAGCACAAAGTAAAGACATTTCCTGAAATGGTACAGTAATCAAAATAGTTACAGAACATCTCCCCCACAAACCAGGGCTGCACTTCCACAAAGTCAATGGTAAGAAGGGACAAGCACATAGAATATGCCAGTAGACAGGCACAGCCACTAGATTCCATATTACATAGCCAAGGCAATGCATGTACCTCCTGTGACCTTTTGTGATACCATCAGGCCGCTCCTTGTTGGGCACTGTGCCTCTAGTGCTCAGGTTCAGCTGACAT